GTCATGCTGGTCGGACGGCACTTGACCACGGGCGTCTCGGCATATGGCCGGGGATTGAAGCGGCCAAAGGGACGAGGTGGTCGGCGGTGACGCCACCGGCTCAAATCCCGTGGCGGGTATATGATGAACGCATTACACTGGGGCATTACATAGGAATTAATAAGTAATTTGGACACTGCAGAAACCCCAAGACATGTGACCCGAGCGCGAGTTGATGGAAGGCAGCGGTGGTGGTGTGTACGACAAGCTACCCCCATCCACTCAGCTGAAGGACATGAGCCGTGTTGGACTACTGGAGGAACATGTCTTCAACTGGGCCTCCTCGATCATTCGGCTAATAAGCAGGTTGGTCGTGAGGTAATTGCATGAATCATGGCTGGCCATGTCAGCAGGGCCGCCTCTGAGGTGCCTTTGGGTCCAGAGATGGCTATGGTGAACCGCATGCGCTTCCTGATATCCATCCAAGCAACCTCTCCACTCAATCCATCAACAATGGAGAGCCGCCCCCAGAAGTCAATGATGGCACGATAAAACTCTGGCTCTTCAGCGGGACCACTTTCACTGTCTCGCCCCAACGAACCCCAGGGGGGGCAGCCAAAAGCATTAGTCATGAGGTGCCTCACAGCAACAGCAACAGCCCAGCCGGTACTCGGTACAGGCGAAGACGAGCAAGTGACGAGCAAAAAAAAAAGGTCAAACCTCGAGGCTACGTGAGCGGTAACGGAGCCTGGCCTGTTCGAAGATCCCCGGCAACGTGGGGTGCGCAGGGCGCTAGCGATCACGCAATTCTACGGTGCGACACACGAACCCGAAAAAAAACCAGGCGCCAAGAGGGCATTCCAGCCACTGGGGCCCGAGTCGCCGTCTTCAGGGTCCTCACCGTGAAGAGGCGTGCTCGCACCGCAAACAGCGACCCCCCTCCCCATCTCCTCGGAGCGGGCTTCGAGCTGCCCCCCTGCCCCACGCGGGTGTCCTCTACAGTAGAAGAGTCCACAAGGGAAACACAAAGACAAAAAAGCGCCCACCGTACTATTTCTCCGTCCGCCCTCTCTGGCGGGGCAAATTTGCTGGTCCTGGCTGGCTCGCTGGCCGAGGTGGGCTCTGGACAAGCACCTCATCGGTGGGTGGGACAACCACCCCATGCGCGCCGCCCGCCGTCCAGGGACGCAGGACGGGTGGACTAGACGCGGCTGTTGAGTGGGAATTAAAACCAAACAAGTCATTCATTCATACATCTTCTGAGCCATTGCTGACCATTCCCTTTTCTCGCTTCCTTTCCTTCGTCCAACTGACTCCTCTTCATCCCCTCCCCCTTCCCCCCCTTCTCTGTCTGCCGTTGTGGGAAGAGCGAGCAATCACAATGGCGTCTTCACGAGGCCAGGTTCACACGCCCGGCGAGGCCAGTAAGTCACTCCCCTGAAGCTCCCTGTCGCTACAGCGCTCTGCTGCGCTGTCGCAGCGCCGGTTTTCGCCCGCTCTTGTCCAATCAGAACATGTCTATTTGTCCTCCGGCAGCAGCATCAGCAGCACCCAACAGAGGGCAAGAGCAATCGACCGCAGCAGAAGGATACAGACATTGTGTGAAAAAGCACGTTGTTGTTTGAAGAGTTACAGCTTTACTGACTGCCCATTGTTCTACAGTCGCGCGAATCGCATATCTTGCGAGCGATGTCGTCGTCTCCGTCCAGCCTTCTCAGGCCAACGACTCAGAGTTCTCGTCGCACTTGAAGCGCTACGAGGCGCGCAAGGGCAAGAGCTTGGTGGCCAAGGGCCCTGGTGCTGTTCCCGAGGTGAGCTCAGGCCGTCCGCTCTCTTTTCCTGTGCCCGCGTCCATCGGCGAGGACACTGGATTAGCAGGATACTGACAAAGGGCAGATTCACGCTGTCAGGCACAACGCCGACCCTCTCCTCTCCGTCTTCGCCCCCATCCGCGCCGGCAAGCTCGTCTCCGTCACCACGAGCTCCACCACTCTCGTCCCCTCCATCACTCACCTCTACAAGCTGGCCAACTTCCCCGTCGTCATCCACGTCTCTCTCCAGCCCGCCAGCTTCCCTGACTACTCAGCCATCACCGCCATTCGCAATGCCGGGTGGACCTTCCTGCAGTCCGAGAGCCTGCAGGAGGCCCAAGATCTGGCCCTGACTGCCCACGCCCTGGCTCTGCGCTCCGGCAAGGGTGTCATCCACTTCTTCGCCACGGCGTCGTCTGAAGACGATGAGCCCATTGACGCCGAGGATATTGACGTTGTGAGGGAGGTCCTCGACCTCGACACCGTTTTTTTTATTCCAGTCCAGTGCCGATGCCGGCTCTGGCATCTACGCTGACGACGGCAGGGTCCCCGTGGCCTTTTTTCCGTTCCTTTTTTGCCTGCGACCAATGGTTTTTTGGTGGGGCGGAAAATCAGCGCCTCTGTCCACTCCAAAGTTCGACTCGGCGCGGGGCCTCCGAGCTGGCGAGCCAGCACAGCACCACGAGCAGCCCTCCCCTCTATGACCTCAGTCGTCACCACCATTTGAGTCGCCGGTTTCTCCCGTCACTTCTGAGGACTTT